CAGGTAAATGAAATTGTATACTTGGGGAGTGCTTTTAGCCGGGATGGAAGATGTGATTTAGATGTGGACAGGCGTGTCGCTGCCGGGAACAAAGTCAATGGTGCCCTGACTGCGTTAGTCAAAAGGCAAGGCGTAGCGAAGAGTGCACGCCTTGCAATACATAACGCAGTGTTGGTACCGACTTTGTTATATGGCAGCGAAACCTGGGTATGCCAGAAGAAGCATAAAAGTAAGTTGAATGCAGTGGAGATGCGATCTCTTCGTAAAATGTGCGGCGTTACCATGGCCGACCGAAAGCGAAACGAAGAGATTCGCAATATGGCAGGTTTGAAAGATGACCTTATCACAAAAATTGATAAGGGCGTGCTTCGGTGGTTTGGGCACCTTGAGCGAATGAGTGAAGACCGAATGGTGAAGAAAATATATAGCGCGAAAGTTAATATTAAAAGGTGTCGAGGTAGACCGAGACTAACTTTCGAAGACCATGTGAGCAAATTGCTCGAAGAGGGTAGGGTCAAGAGTACTCGGATACCTAGACGTGCATGCATGAAGAAGATAATGAATCTGAAAGAAGCGAAAGAGGTTTGTAAGGATCGTGACACTTGGCGATCTGTTCTCTCTGGCTACCCCGTCAGGGATTGTGCGTGAAGATAAGTAAGTAAGTAAGTAAGTCTGTATTATGAAGAATGTCGACAGTAAAGGATATTTACAAAATCCGATGCTCACTAGGGAGGTCACGAGTAAACTAAGCCCTCATTTACGGTCGCGTTGGTGCGATTACGCGGAGCACTACGGAAGTGCCGACGAACCGAATATCATCACACTATCACGGTTTATGATGAGAGAGGCTGACTGCGCGATAAGTTATGCCTATACGTCCGCAGCGCCGACTGAGGAACTGCCCGTAAATAGAGGAGCGCTGCCGTCGAAAAATTAATAATCAGACGACGCGTAGAGGATAGGCTCCGCGACGTAAGGACTGTCACCACCTAAGGGGACAACGAAAGGGTACAGTGTTTGTGTTGTGGGGGTGAACACGTAATAAGGAAGTGTAGGAAACTGTTACAGAAGAATAATCGGTGAACAGTGAATAACTGGTGGAAGTGGGTGAAAGCAGAGGGAGTATGATTTAAGTGCCTAAGCAGCAAGCATTGAGGCCTAAGGTGCAAAGCCAAGAAGTGCGGTATCAACAGCTGCAACGCCCGTCATCACGCGTTACACCACGTCCGCAAGACTCAGACATCGGAAGCATCTGTCATACCAGACGAAACAGTGCTCGTCGCGTCGAATACAGCTAATAGTGTGTCAGTGCTATTAAAAGTGTGTCCCATTATCGTGGACCGCGTGGTAAAGAGATCGAGACCTACGTGCTCCTCGACGAAGGGTCCACGATATCGTTGATTTAGCTCGCGAGTTAGGTGCGAAAGGACTGACGAAGCCACTGAACATCCGATCATTATCCGTCAGATAACTGGGAGATGGATGGAAATGGATCCCGACTGCGCATAATATAGCAGACTAAGCAACGTGCATGAACTTCGCGAGCAAGGGAGAAAGCAACCAATGGTTCACCGGACCGTCATATATCTAGAAGAATCAAAGAAGAAAGCGAGTGGCCACAGCGAAAAGAAGAGAATGCAGGGAAAGATGACAAATTAGAAGAAATTATTGCGCATCACGTCGAGACCACGTTTTTTGTACGTGGTAGAGCCATAATGCAGCTATATTTCTGGTATATTTGTAGCACAAATGGGTCGGCTCATGCACCGACGGGGGAAGGATCACGCACTTATAGAATACCAGCGTAAAATAGCAGCTGCTGTGTTTCGTATGGTGAGTGTAAAGAACCGGAGACACTTTTTACTGGAAACAAGGCATTCCATCTTAGTCCTCACGGGTGACAATGCATCTGCATTTTGATTCGTAATCGAGGATAAATGTCAAGATATCTATGGGCCACAGCAACCACTTACCATCAGGTGGACTGTGCGCTCGTTTGTCACCCTTATCCTATAAAAAAAAAGACCAAGGACGCCCCACACCTGCCAGAGATAGAACGCTTCTCTTCATACGAAAGGTTGATCAGGGCCACAGCAAGAGTAATACAGTTTATCGATGCCATGCGAGAACGGGCTCGAGAACTAACACTACAGCACATCCAGAGGGCAGAGCGGTTGTGGGTGGAACACAGTCAGCTCGACAGTTTTGCTGACGACATCAGCCGACTCCAGCAAGGAAAGAATCTGGTTACCGGCATCGCTTTGAGGAAGTTCGATCCCATAATCGTGGATGGAGTTTTACGAGCAAGAGGAAGAATCAACGCGGCCAACGTGGATGACCAAATGAAACGACCCATAATCCTGGATAAACGCCGCCGTTTTGTGAAGCTGCTGATAGAAAAGGCGCATCGAGAAGCAAGCCACGCCAATAGGGAGAGGGTGTTCAACGATCTACGAACAAAATAACACATCTGCCGACTACGACTGACCGTGCAAGAAGTAGAAAGAAGATGTCTACGGGGGTATGTAAGGCAACACCACGGCCGGCGGTTATCGGCGACCTACCACCCGAAAGCGCGACCGTTTACATATACCGGAATCGATTATTTCGGGCCTTTGTCGGTAACGGTAGGACAACGACAAAAAAAGAGCCTAACGACGCGCGCGGTTCATTTAGAACTAGTTTACGGCCTAACCACGGACTCAGTGATAGTGGCATTACAGCGTATGACGGCGACGACGGTATATTACCCGAGGCCACCCGCGCCTAGGTGGCCTCGGGTAATATACTCGGATAATGGGACTAACTTTCATGGAACAGACACCGAATTACGACGTGCGATGAAAGAGTGGGCACCGCTACTTAAGGACTTCGCGCTGACACGACGCACCGGGTGGAAGTTCATCGCACCGGATGCGCCCAACCAGGGAGGCGCATGTCGTTCGTGGTGAAATCTCCAAACATAATGACTGAATTACCTAATGCAAGGACAGCCTCAAAATATTTTTTGAGGGGGAGGGTTCTACTAGGGATGTAGCAGGAGGCTATGACGATGGACTGATTCCAGTCAAGGCTAGCCTGCATACCGTGGTTTCCATGTTGGTTAGCTGCGGAGTGGGGATGTGGGAGCAATGAAGTGTCTTCTTGTAGTAAATGGCAGTACCGCCGCCTTTGCGGTCAGGTCTGTCGTTACGCAGAAGATAATACTTTTGGATGGAAAGGCTTTTCAGGTTCTTAGTTCCTCCTGGAGGAGGAAGAGGTCGGATTCGCGATCTCGAAGAAAGAGCTTAAGCTCGGGAAGGTTATTTAGTAACCCGCGAATATTAAAGGACACAAGCGATAAACCCTTAGGCTTTATACGACCGTGAGACTTTGGGAGAGCAGAGTGCTCTGCCACTGTTAAGTTAAATTAAATTAACTTAACTTACAATGAGCTCAAAAGGTTGTGGTGCTCAGGGAGAGCGAGGAAACGCTCCTGAGGGGACTGAGCAGTGCGCAGTTTGCGTGCTAATATGGCTATTTCCCCAATATCGATGCTCCGAATAGCGGAATATACCGTATTCAGGTCATCAACCAAAGAGGGTTGTGTTTGTTGTGGGGCGGAGGATGTCCGCGGATGGTCAGCCTTTTTGGGGCCCCAGGAGAAAACCGAAGTCCGCGAAAGCTGAGACAAGCCGGGAGGGGGCTGAAGAGGACCCTTAGGGGGCCTAGGGGGACCCTGAGTGGGCCGAGAGGGGCCCTGAAGAGGTTGGGAAAGGCCCTGACGGAGCATTTTTGATAGGAAAGCCGGGAATGACCTGCGCAAGGGCAGCCTCTGTAATTAACCGGGTGGCCAGACTGCTGACACAGGACGCACGAGGGTGGGGATTCGGCGTTTTGTGGCCGAGGACATTCTTTCGACCTGTGGGGGTCTAGGCATTTAACGCACCTGGGGGTGGGGGCAGAGCAGTTGGCCGCCGCTTGCCCATAGAGTTGGCAGCGATGGCACTGCGCCGGGGACCGCGCCTATGGGGGGCTCAACCTTCACTCTCGACAGGCCGCACACTGTGCGTACCTGCCGGAAGATGTTTGTTGCCTCCGGCACGTTTGTCAGAATGACAAGAGCAAGCGGGAACCTCTTGGCCTTGCCGCTGTGCAACTTGTGCGCAGCCTCCACTGGGAACCCTTGGGACTTAAGGTCCTCAAGGGTTCGTGAGGCAGCTTCCTATGCAGCCCCAGTTCCGTCTCTATATCGAATCCGAAGACCGAGAAACTCTCTCTCTCGGACCCCCCAAACAAGCTTTCTTCCGACCTAAACCGCCTCCTGGTGACTCAGGCCGAATCTTCTCCCCGCCCTTACTTTACCTTAGTTAGGCTTCCCTCTCAGCAGCCGCTGAAGCCTCTCGCCGCCTGCGCCCCCTTTTTCCTAAAGAGGGCCGCTTCCAATTCGGCAGAAAGGCCACAAAAGCCAATGCCAGTCTCTATTTAAAAAAAAGCCTCCTCCGGCATTCATTGCATTCGATTCGGAAGCGGCAAAGAAGACTCAAGACTTTCAATACTCTCAAGACTCCCATAGAAGATACTCCGTCTTGTGTAAATAGTAATAATATTTGCCGCCATTATAATTGTAACGTGTACCACCTTTTCTTTAATAACGTCCCTAGCAGTAATCACCTTAACACAATACAGTACACTACAGTATATATATATATATATATATATATATATATATTGTATATATTGTAGTGGACTCTATATATGTATATCTGTGTTTTGTATGGTGAGTGTAGAAAAACTTAGGCCCTTTTTACTGGTAACGAGGCATTTTATCTCAGTAATATTTTTATTCTTTATCGATGGTAGTTGTAGGTGGTAATGGAACACAACAAAAAAATCTAATCAACTGATATTCTCCTCATTTCAAATTCAAATATATTCCAAACAGAACCACGGAATATATATAAAGCCTGTACAGAAAACACGATCTCAGCTTATGAACCGCAAAAAGTCGCGAAGTGTGCGCACGAGCATTCAGTAACAGCGCAGATCGCGCATCGGCAACACAAAGCGTTTTATATTTTATATATATACATTGAACATAACCAAGTTTACGGAAACGGTAAGCAATCTCAATTATAGCCTCAATGTTTGCTTTTACTTTTGCTCTAGTTGATATTAAAAAAAAAATATGACTTTAATTGTAAATATTTAACACAATCTTAATTTCACATTTTTATTTTAGATTTTACTTATGTTTTCTGTCATATAAAAATCTATGATATAAGTAATATTCTTTAACAAAAATAAATGTATCATAATATAATTAGATTAACAAAAATAAATACATAATAATGGTTCAGAGTCGTGTTTGTAGAGAGGCTAGTGTCCAGTAATGGCCTTGTGAAGGGATAATATGATTGTAATAGTGATGATATGTGAAAATAATAATAATTTATAGGCAACAGTAGCTTAATGGTAAAAGGCACGGACTGAAAAACTAAGAGGACGTGGATTCCAATCCGCGGTTCTAATAATGAACCACTCTTAGAACAAACAGCTACGATTGCAAAGCTTAGGTGGAGTGATTAAAAGTAATATTAATGGCATTTCCAGTATTAGCAAAACATAGAAAATAAACTAATAATAAAATTTAAAAAATGTAAAATCTACTTCAAAAAAACAAAAATAAAAAGTTAAAGTCTGTTTTTAATTATTTAAAGGCTAAGTAATAATCAATATCACATCATTAGAGTGAAATGTCGCCTTATTAGTTACATTAAAATTCCATCATCTATTTTTCCACCATTATGAGTGAAATTTCTTCCTTATTTCTGTTTTTTTTTTTTCTAAATTACTTAAACCTTAAAGACTTAAACTACTAATAACAAATGAACTTGAAATAATTTAAATTGGTTCACAATTGCTGAAGATTCATGCAACATACATACAAATAAAAGTTCTGTCGAAATTAGAACCTCCTCTTTTTTCAAAGTCGTCTGAACAGAACTCGACGAAAACTTCAAATATCATATGATCGGGCTGGAATTTATATGGCACCACTCCTGGACTTTATAGGTGAATTAAAATCAGCTGATTCGTTAAAAGTACCTCAGATATAATTCAAATTTTTATGGCATGTCACATTACTTTAAGATGGCACATTATTGATAGATATACATGTGACTTGAGGGCTAACTATTTTGAATTATCTAGCTTTTAAACATAAATTATAAAACATCGTATCATAAACATTCAATGTTATTTTATATAAATGGTTGACTGACTAACTGAAGGTTTTTACACAGATTACAAATAGATCGTCATCAATTATCACAACAAAAGTATTAATTCCACGAGAATGAGTCGCGGGCAAAGCACGTTTTATATAAATTAGTTAAAAATTTGTTAGAAATATAACGTAGTCGAAGTATTCTTTCTTTGTCATTATCTGTCGTCAAAAATTCATTTAAAGTATAATAACATTTATTTATTTGGAATGTTTTTATATAATTCGATAGATGGTTATATATTTTTATTGACAGACTAGTCGAAAATAATTTTAATTTGGAAAAAGGTACTAAGCTCACATATATAAATTTCTGTTACTGCTTTTAATTTTTGTTATACTTAAGTCAATAGACATAATGATACGAGCAGTTTTTTATATTTAAATTGATAACCTCCCTCTTTTTTGAAGTCGGCTAAAATACTGCTGTCTACACCATACTAGTAATGAAGATACGTATTTCTAATACAGCCTACAGGGTTAGAAGTTATAATGATGCCCTCCAGTCCAAAAATTGGTCACAGCGTCTAGTCAACGGATTCTAGCCATTTGCGTCGGTCAGGGCACAAGTGTTTGCACAAACACCGGTGTATAGCTAAGAACCATCTAGGTGGCCCCATAAGTACCCCATAAAAATTTCATCAGATTCGGTCAAGACGCTTAGGAGGAGAAGAATTACGAACACATGCACACCGGAATTTTATACATACTAGCTGAACCCAGCAGTCGTCGTCTTGACAGTTATAGGTATATGTACATAGGTTGTGTTCAGTGACGTTTTCTTTTTTTTTATTATAGCGAATGCAATTTAATTTATTAATTTCCGGGCTTGATCGATAAAAAAACCATATAAAATCAAAAAAATTAAATTTATTTCTCATTTTTTTTCAAGTTTTTTTTAGTTTGTAAATATAAACGTTCTACATTGAAAAATACAAATATATTCCAATTTTCATGGTGATCGATCAAATTTATTTCGTGTTTAACGATTTCGTATACACAAACATCCTCGTTTATATATAATATACACTGGCTGGTATCCGGCGCGTTGCTGACACAGAAAAAATAATGAAACCTTCCAAAAAATTTGGAAGGGTTATATTGTTTAAGTAAGAATGATCATACATTCATTGAAGTTAAATGATGTATAACTTTCAAATAATTTTGTTGGTACGATACGCTAGCTACCTATTGTAAGTTAATTGTACTATGCCTATAACCATCGCACAAGTTCAAACAAAAAGCTGGGAAGTTTTAGCGCAATCTGATGCACGATATGGCAGCGCATGAAATACGAATATACATAGAAAGATACAAAGACATTTAAATCTTTTTAGGGTTCCGTACCTCAAAAGGAAAAAACGGAACCCTTATAGGATCACTTTGTTGTCTGTCTGTCTATCAAGACCCTTTTTCTCAGGAACGCGTGGAGTTATCAAGCTGAAATTCATATCAAATACTCAAGTCTACTGTCCCTTAGAGCTGTGAAAAAATCAAACTTTTAAGCCAACGCAATCAAAAGATAGACATTCGCAAGGAAATCAAAACCTACAGGGTACTTCCCGTGAACTCAGAATCTTGAAATTTGGTACGAAGCAACTTTTTATAGCACAGATAAAGGAAAAATTGCGAAAAGCATTACTCGGTGCGCGAGTCCGACTCGCACTTTGCCGGTTTTTCTATTTGAGAACTATTTATTTGCTGTCAATCTAGATTTTGTCTAGAATGTTGTAAAAATACTAGGTCATAGTCATGAAACTATTATATCGTCACCGATTCTTAATACGTCTGCAGAATTTTAGATTACTCAGTCGCATGGAAGTAGGTGAAAACTGAATAACAAAATTCCATTACGTTCAGTATATCTATACAAATAAATAAAATTTAAGTGTCTGTTTGTAATGTCTATGATTAATTATACTGGCTTTCTATACACTACAGACCGGGATACTGCAGTGCTCGCACTACTGTTCGAAATGGTGAAATGGCGAAAGAAACAGTTAAGAGTGTGGTTTACGTGGTAGAGCCATGCTGCAGCTATATTAGTTGTATAGTTGTAGCACGAATGGCTCGGCTCGACCGGGGAAGGACCACGCTCTTTTTTTTTTTTCAATATAAAAACTTACTTTCGTTCGGAAGTGCTAACCTCAAATGCCAGTGACTGTCAGGCGAGGCTCTAGAGACCTACGGCGAATATTACAGAGAAGTGATAATTATATAAAGATAAAAAACAATTTTCACAAAATCACTTATGTATGTATTGTTTTTGTTTATGAATTCTCTCATGCCGGATTTCTAAATCAAAAAACATTTTGTTTTATTTTACGCGCCGTTTTTCAAAACATGTAGTGCATGAGGACGCCTTTTTAAAACAAATACCAGACCGAATTATGAACCGTTTAAAGTTTTTTTTTTACATTTTAAGTCATCCTTAGTTGCTTAATGAATATTTTGTAACATAAACTTTTTTTACTTACAATTCGTGAGTAATTAGAACGGATAGTTACGTAGAACTGTGTTCAGTGTGATTAAGTGACTTCTATTAATCTCAGGGAGTTATTTGCGTGTTATTAATACATAAATAACCATATTTTACGTGGTAGAGCCATGCTGCATCTATATTATGGTTGTAGCACGAATGGGGTCGGCTCGACCGGGGAAGGACCACGCTCTCACAGAATACCAGCGTAAAATAGCAGCTTAACGCTGCTGTGTTTCGTATGGTGAGTGTAGAGAACCGGAGACCCTTTTTACTGGAAACGAGGCATTCCATCTTAGTCCTCACGGGTGACAACGCATCTGCATTTTGACTCTTAATCGAAGATAGATGTAGATGTCTATGGGCCACAGCGACCACTTACCATCATGTGGACTGTGTGCTCGTTTGTCACCCTTATCCTATAAAAAAAAAATTAAAAAAGTTGTCTGTCTGTCCGTCCAGACTCGTCGTCGTCGTCGAGTGGGTTAATCTTTGGAATGGTTGAACCGATTGCAATAAAACTTTACGAACGGATAAAGAGCAATGGGAGGAGGGACCTAGGCTACATTTTATCCGAAAAAAAATGACATTAATGGACTCCATCCAGAACAAGGCGGGGACGGATCGCTAGAAACAACTAAAAAAAACTGCGTAGTTTATCCGAAACAATTTAATAATTTTTTCACAAAGGTAAAATTGTGTGTGTAGTAGAGAATATTTTAATATAAAAACACTTAGAGAAAGCATTTTTAAGTGAATATTGTCATTATTCGACGTCAACGTAAAGTTGATAACACATTAGCGTCTAATCACGCTCGCTGATCATGGTTGCGCTTAATTGCCGCTGTCCAGTATTCTTCTACCGACTTCAAAAAGGAGACGGTACTCAATTCGACTGTATGGTTTTTTTGTGTGTTACCTCATAACTATTTTCTGGGTGAACCAATTTCGATGATTTTTTTTTGTTTGTAAGCTGGTGCTTTTCATGTGCTTCCATATAAATTTGATCAAAGTCAGACCAATAGTTTTTAAGTTATTCTTAATAATTTACATTGAAGTCGGTTGTGCAAAATTTTAATTTTAAATTATTGATAATATAAATCAAGATTTTTTTTATCAATGTGGGCTAAACATTGTTATTACATGAAATATCGAGTTGAAAACGAATAAGCGCTATTTCTTAGATCAGTAATTAAACTAGTTTTCCGGATCATTATATCATAATTATATATCTACTCATTAATAAAACTATATAAATTAGTAAATAGTTTATATTTATGTTATTGTTACATTCTCTGATAAGCATATGCATGATGAAATTGTCTGCATCAAGTGATTTTTTTAAAGAATGGGAGTGAAAAAATAGCACACAATCCACCTGAAAGTAAGTGTATGCTGTGGCCCATAGACATTTATATCTATCCTTGATTAAGAATCAAAATGCAGATGCGTTGTCACGCCTGAGGACTAAAATATAATGCCTCGTTTCCATACGAAACACGGCGACATTAAGCTGCTATTATACGCTGGTATACTGTGAGAGCGCGGTCCTTCCCCGGTCGAGTCGACCTATTCGTACTAAAACCATAATATAGCTGCAGCACGGGTCTACCACGTGTACTTTTTACTCGTATAATTCAAGTATTTGTTTCTATCAAGTGTCAAATGTGATTTCACGGAAGTCCCAAAAGACTTATGCTAAATGGTTTCGGCTTGGTTTTGACGCCACATGAATAGTACGCAACGCTCCATCTATCTTTCTTTTAAAAATATTTTCGAGGACATGTGTAGTTCTCTGCCACAAACAGGAGCAAGCATTGCACCCATAGTTCACTTATTAATGAGAGATTTTTCCGGACCGATACGACTTAGGAACCTTCAAGAAAAGAGCTAACACCTTTCTAAAAGGCCGGCAACGCATTTGCAATTCCCCTGGTGTTGCGATTGTTCATGGGCGGCGGTGGTCACTTACCATCAGCTGAGCCGCATACTCGTTTGCCCCCTCTTCTATATAAAAGGTGATATGTGATCTGCTGTAGGACAAATTTAGGCAATAGTCTTAAATCAAATATTAACTTTTTTTTAAAACTAGCGGATACCCAGCGTGTGTTACTACGCAAAAAAATTAAATACATTTTGTTTATTTGTTGGAAAAAAGTAAATTTTGTTTATTTGTCAAGTTTTTATACAATAACTAATGCATTGTTTTAGTTGTCTAAAACCATCTCGGCATTATTACTTTTCTAATTAGACTGGTTTGGGGCACATCGGTTGGATAGTTTCAAAGCTATAACGGACATAGGTAGGAATTTTTTTTTGTATTTTATACATACAGAAATATGAGACGGTTTCTATGGTTCAAAACCTAATAAACTTTTGATTTGATGTTTATTAGCCAAAAAAGGAGGATCTATAATGTCTTTTTTTAAGTGAAAACTTTTATCGCCGCGTTAAACTATTTTTGGTAGGAGAAAAACTTATTGGATCGCGTCACCGATGACCTCGACATGCTAGTGATGTTACGCGGCGCGTAGTTTAGCGGCCTGTGTACATTTTGTACATCATTGAGTTTTCACTTCTGTCGGTAGTCCTTACTTGACGACTGCCTCTGTTTTTTTTGTATGTTTGTTACTTATCTCAGCTCAGATGGATTTATTTTGGTTTGTCATTATATTACGTAATAGGTAGGTACCAATATTTGATTTTATTGCTGTGTCTACTTCTACGACAAACAAAAAAGTACACAAAGGTAGGAATGACTAAGGAAAGGTATAATAAGTTGTTTATTATAACAGATCGCGCAACAAATCAACCCTTTTTGAAACGGTTTTTATTTTTACCTTTTATGACTTACTTCTTTTACTCGGGGGTTTTTTCGTTTACAAGTTTTACACCCGTTCTGATGATGATATTCCTTAGTACACTCAAAAGGATTAAAAAAATAGACTTAAATAAAAAGTAATGGCTGAATTATAAAAATTTAAAAGAAAATAATTTCACGTTCTAAAATCGGTACTAAAATCCCTATCGATTAAAGCAATTGATACAGGCTGCCATTTTTTTGGAAAAGGTGTTTTTCTAATAACTTTTATCTTAAATAATTAATGATTCCTTGAGTAAATAAAAATATGAAACACAGCAGCGTCAAGCTGCTACTTTACGCTGGTATTCTCTGAGAGCGTGGTCCTACCCCGGTTGAGTCGACCCATTCGTGCTACAACTATACTACTAATATAGCTGCAGCATGGCTCAACCACTTAAAAAAAATATATTTATTGTACTTATAATTAAATACTACCTACTATTAAATTAGCAGAAATTTTTAAAGTTCAAATTGGCGCTAAAAGGCCGGCAATAGGGGCACCTATCATACCTTATTCTCCAACGTATTTGTTCGAGGCTGTAAGTCAAGAACGGCTGTCGTTTGATAAATGAAGAATTTTACTCTCTAAGAAATGGGGTGATAGATTATCTTATGCCGCCACACCACGTCGCTCTAGAATATTATTATTATCATAATTTAAGCAGTGATGGAAGATTAATAAACTGCGTAGTTGCGGTGTAAAAATATCCACAGGCGAAAGAGGGAATGATAATGAGGATTGGATGAATGGGGAGATAAATACCGAATGTTTAATAAACCGCAAAAACTAAAGATATGATAAAGTTCACAGTCCGTTCTTTGCGGTATCGTTAGAGGTTAAGATACTCAATGAACTCACGTGGCGCCAAACACGAGCGTGACCAACATATTATTATCTATATTCTTATTTTAAAACATTTGCCGCCTTTTCGTAGATTTTCAATTATTTTTAACCGACTCAAGAAAAGGAAGGAAATACAACAAATAATACTTATTATATATATATATATATATATATATATATATATATATATGTATATGTATATATATATATATATATCTTATTTGTTGATGATATTTTTAAGACGATGTGAATAATGCTCTATTTTAACACCAAAAATATGCTTATAAATGGCAATAAATAAAAATATCTAAATAGCAATGTGCTCCTAAATAGGGTGGAGTTAAAACTTGTGGATTCCACGGTTTTCCTTAGAATAATTATTGACGCTAACTTTCTATGGGGCGCACACATATTTAATTAATAATAAAAGATAGTTTCATCTTTTGTTTTTTTTAAACGTTATTCACACACTTCTGTGTCGTGGAGGCAGTTTAGAAACATAAATTGCAAGAGTACAAACATCCAGACCCGGAAGAATTATTTGTAGGCCATATAAATACTCGTTCCGTGTGGGATTCGAACCCGCACGGAACAAGTAGCATATGCTGTAAGAATAATTAGACGTCTCACGAATGCTGAAACAATTACTTTTATAGCGTAATGGCTTATGGTAATTTGCTACGGGGTAACGCAACTGACATAAAAACGATATTTATATTGCAAAAGTACGGATAGTTTATAATTTAAATTATAAAGAGTCCCTAAGAGAAAAATGTAAAGAAATAAACATATAAACGTTAGCATCGCAATATATTTATTTAATTGTAATTTATAGACAAAAATATGAGTAGCTTAGATAAGAAAATATTTTTTTAGTTTATTTTACTTTTCTCATTACAGAAAATGTTTCGCTACTTGGTTTTGTTCTATTTCGTCGGACAGCTACACCACACTCAGGGAAATGCAATCAACAATGATGTGGTTAACGACAAACAACTGTTATTAGCATTTGTTGTAAGTATTCAACATTTTAACTATATATTTTTTTAATTAAACTAAAGTAAATCTTTTAAATTAGTTTTTTCTATCTCAAAAATCTCCTTATAATGGAAAAAGATATAAATTATCTATCGAATGCCAATTAATATTACTCTCGAAGGTCAACCGGCATGGAGAACGAACGCCTGACGCTGATGAACTGTCGCTTTCCAATGAACAGGAGAAACTGAAGGAACTTACAAGTATTGAAGGCCTCGAAGGACTAACCAATGTAAGTAATTTACTAGGTTGTAAGACCATGCGCTTACGCTAAAACGCGTACATTTTTTTATTTTGACCTTTTTACCTTTCTTTGAAAGTACAACTTGATTAAAATTAACAGGAAGCAAAGTCCTGCTCAGCAGTCCACTCAAGTTTACAGATTAGCGATTTTAATACTAGAGGCAGGTAAAATGTAAACGTGTCAAAATATAAAATCGAGATTGTATTATCGTCATTTATCGTATATCACCAGATATGCCTGATATTTCCATAAATTGACTTACGACACTGATATGAAATGATTTAGTAAATTCTTATAAGCTTTCAGAGATTTCTCCTATAAATATACAATTTACATCAGGAGGCTGACTACGCCCATAATTAGCCATTTAATAAAATATTTCAACTGAAAAATATTATACAAAATGTTGGGCGCATAAAATCAGTGGCTTCAACATATCACGTTCTACCAAATATTGGAGCGCTACTAAATTGGTAGACCTAAAAATACCAAATTTTGGGGCGCTACATAATCGGTAAACTCAACATTATATCAAATATATCTAAATCAACATCACTATATTATCGATACAATAGGTGCAGTGTACATTATGTCATAAAATATTTCGTATGTATTTTTTTCTTTCTGTAGAATTTACATTTCAAACAAAAACAAATATCAACCGTGGCCGTGAAAAACAATAGTCAAACGATTAACTTGTGTAGCGGAACGTTAGAGGCCATTTCTTATCTTAAGGTTGTTTTGTAGTATCTACGTAACAAATATATTGCGTTCAAGTTGAAGTAAAATAAGTAATTAACTTCTTATAAGAAAGCTATTTTTTATGAGTTTGTCTTTCTAAAGTCAAAATTTTGACATATTTCCATGTTTCAAGATCTCTAGAGTTTTAGGTTAACTGCGGGTGTGTGTGTGTGTGTGTGTGTGTGTGTGTGTGTGTGAATGTGTGTGAATGTTTAATTAGCTTTACGTATGTAGGTTCATGGTTAATTTTCACCTCGCATATCTTGAGGACTAATAATAATATCGATATCGAACCAATTTTATTCGATGTACGATTATGCATTTTTTTCAAAATCGGTCCATAAGTTGTCTGTAAATAAAATAATATTTACCTATTAATTTATGATGTATATTGAATACAAAAAGTAGGAGGCAATAGAGTCCATGGCAGTAGTAGTAGTAGTAGGCATTGGCCGTTAGTTTGGACATAGCGAAGGCCTTCGATCGGGTCTGGCACAAAGCGCTTCTTTCGAAGCTCCCTTCCTATGGGCTTCACGAGAAATTGTGCAAATGGATCACCAGTTTCCTCGCTGATCGGAGCATCAAGGTCGTAGTAGACGGTACATGCTCTGATTTTAAGCCTATCAACGCTGGTGTTTCACAAGGCTGCGTGCTATCACCAACGCTGTTTCTTCTGCATATCAATGATATGTTGCAAACTAGTAACATTCATTGCTATGCAGAGGACAGCACTGGTGATGCCTTATATACCGGCCGTGCCAATATTTCTCGGGAAAACGTCGCCGAGTACCGGGACAAACTTGTGTCTGAAGTCGAGTCTTTGCTGAACAAAGTTTCGGATTGGGGGCGACTAAATCTAGTCCAGTTCAATCCCCAGAAGACACAAGTTTGCGCGTTTACCGCTAAAAAGAACCCCTTTTTGTCGTATTTACTCAGTTTCAAGGCACTCCCCTTGCTGCCTCAGCTAGCATCGGAATCCTCGGCGTCGACATATCGAATAGTGTGCAGTTTTGTGGTCACTTGAAAGGGAAGGCCAAACTGGCCTCTAAAAAGCTTGGCGTGCTTAGCAGAGCGAGACAGTATTTCGTGCCGGCACATCGCTTGCAACTTTACAAAGCGCAAATTCGACCTCACATGGAATACTGTTCTCATCTCTGGGCCGGGGCACCACAGTGCCAGCTCCTTCGACTTGACCGCATCCAGCGCAGAGCGGTTCGATTCGTCGACGACCGAGTTCTTTCTGATCGGCTCGATACACTGGCACTGCGTAGAGATGTTGCGTCTCTTTGCGTATTTTATCGCATTTGCCACGGGGAGTGCTCTGAGGAATTGTTCGAACTAATCCCAGCCGCACAATTTCACCATCGCACATCGCGACAAAACTTGCGTTACCATCCATACCACCTGTATGATTGGCGGTCCATCACTGTGCAATTTAGAAGATGTTTTCTTCCTCGCACAACTTCCTTGTGGAATCGATTACCACCAGCGATTTTTCTGGACCGATACGACTTAGGGACCTTCAAGAAAAGAGCCTACTCCTTTTTAAAAGGCCGGCAACGCATCTGCAATTCCCCTGGTGTTGCGATTGTTTATGGACGGCAGTAGTCACTTACCATCAAGTGAGCCGCATGCTTGTTTGCCCCCTCTTCTATAAAAATAAAGTTTCTCTTACTGTCACAATACCGGTCCTTTTATCTAAAATTCAATTCCCTTAAGTTTTGTCATTTATCATTTCTTTATACATAAATTATTGCAATTTTTCAGCTTGGCAAACGTACAGCCTTCCAAATTGGAAAGTTCATCCGACAACGTTATGGCTCCGAAGGATTGAAGTTGTTATCAAACATCTATCTTCAAGATGAGATATCACTTAGGAGTACGAACAAGGAGCGGACAAAAATGACGGCTGAAGTTGCAATGGCGGGATTGTACCCTCCAGAGGCAGCTCAACAGTGGGATGATGGTTTGGGCAAGGTTTGGCAGCCTGTTCCATACACTGCAGTGCCTTTAGCGGAAGACTATGTAAGTATAGTCATTTCATTGTGTGACTCTGGAAAGACTTTATAATTCAAAATATTTAAGAATAAATTATTCTAGAAAACTTAATAGCAAAGTTTCTCAAATGTAAAATAAGGAGGATGCATTCTGAAGATAGGAGCATCGAGAGGATCAAATATTACGAAAAATACTATACAGCCACGAGTGCCTCGGTACCGTACTTTGTAGCAGATTACGAGAGGCCTATTGACATTGTCAGTAATGGTTGCAGATTGGATGTAATAATGTTGATGATGTTGACACGGAAAATACTATAGACGATATAATTTACAATATGATGCTCGTATTTCAAAAAAATGTTAATTTATTATTCATTCAAATGTACACGTATACATACTCACATTACTCGTTCGCAAAAATACTAATCAATTTCTTTTAACTGGAACAATTAAATGAAACGCATTCAATAATATTAAACCATTATGTAACAAATTAAAAACAGTTGAAATTGAATGAGCAGTTGATGGGAAAATAATTGCTATAATCAAAAAACATTTTATTATAAATTAGTTCAAAGATTTTAATTAAAGACATGTATAATTATTAATGTTTAATTAGTGTGGTTGGATCGTGTTATGCAGAAATGATCCAACGCACAAATTGGCCAATATAATGATCCAGAGGCTCTTTTTCAGTTTCTTTACAAGTATAAAAAGACTATTGAAATTTCTTTAAATAATAATTAAACTTAAAATTTACATTTGATTTTCTATAAAATAATGCACATAATATAATATAATAGGGTTTCTAAATTCGTGATAATTTGGTTAATGGCGTCAAAATTTACTAATTTTACCGAAATGCTGGATAAATTAAAATATAATATACTGGATATAGAAAACACCCTCGCCATAATCGATACCGTTATAAATGTTTCATCTAAACTAGTAGATTTATACAGATATGAAAAAAAGCGTTAAAAATGCGCAAAATTATTTACATTCAAATTAAAACAGTTATTTTCATTCATTACATCAGTAATAATTGACTAAAATGATGTATATGTTCGTACAACTATTTATCATTTAGTATTGCAATATCACGTACTATGATATGACATAGCAGCATGGCTCAAGGCCAGCAAGGGTATACGAAGAGACCAAAAAGTAACCAAAATATGGATTTAGATGGAAAAATGTTAAAAAACTATTTCAAGGCCAGTCCATCGCCTACACAATTTCAAACCCAATGTCAAGTTATTCGATATTTACGACATACTAGACAAGGACCTAAACACAGAACAATCTTTTTAACCAACTTCAAAAAAGGAGGAGGTTCTCGTTTCGATTTTATTTACTCTTTATTGTACACTAAAATACAAAATAACGAGTACAGTTAATTCTAAAGTAGAATATGCACAATAGCCGGTCTTATCACTCTAAAAGTGATCTCTTCCAGACAACCTTAGCGTAGAGAATTGATGCAAACAATAGTTAAAATAGAGGGAGGGGTACAAAATAAAAAAATAAAAATATGAATAATACATATAAATAAAGATAATTGAAGATTATGTATGATACTATATAATAGAAAAAGAGTACAAAAAAGGAAAATTAATTTATCAAGACTTGAAATAATGAAAAAATTGAGCACGACGAATGTGGAGAGGTAAAGAGTTATATTTAGAGTATATGTGTTATTAATAAAAAAAAAGTTATGAGTTATAGTATATATCATAACTTTTTTAAGAGTAGACCAATTTTGATGATTCTTTTTTTTTTAATTTTCAATTCGGTGCTTTTCATGTGGTTCCATATAAATTTGATCAAGATCTGACCAGTAGTTTTACGGTTATCCTTAATATTGCGTATTTAATTGACTTTGAATATATTAATGATGTTCTCATTTTATTTATATTGAAGTCGGTCGTACATAATTTTTAATTTGACCATTTGTTTGTTATATACAAGGCTCGCGAATCATTACGAAAAAGAATATGCCAACATGGCCTATGTAGAACATGGAACCTATAAGTCCAAGACCAACAAGTGACTATTCCATTAGTTCTTAATAGTAATATCTTCTAACGAAATTATGATGACGTAATAGTGTATACTGTCTAATTACTTTGAGATAATGTTCAGATTACATTTTCTTTGGCTTAGTAATTAATTCAATATACAATCTGCTTAATGTAACAATATTTATATTTATAATGAACACTTGTTTACAATTATAAGCTACGTCTATTGCAAAGATACGTCTATTTTAATTTATACGCTTGATTCAAGTTCAGTAAATAGATTATTGTCAGTCTTATCACTAACTGAACATTATAAAAGTCACGCGGATACAGTGTGATTAGTTGATAGCATCAGATCTTACTTGGATTGTTTGTTACATAAGATTTCAACTTGAAACTTAATAATCATACAATCATAATTATATCATGATTGGATTCCTAAAATTTGTGTAAGTATTGGAAACATCGGTATTGCTAATAAAACAACCTTATTGAGATCCAAAGAGTAAAAATTATTACTACCTGGTGTTTTTACCTTCATAAAGTATGTCAGTTATCAGAAACACTTGTAGATTACCTTGAATATAGATTAAAATAGAGTAATTATTATCCAATATAGATCAAAAGAATATGTTGAGATTCACAACATATTCTTATATATTGAAAGTCACTGGTTAGGATAAAACCACTATGTATATTGAAAGTCACTGGTTAGGATAAAACCACAATATATATTGAAAGTCACTGGTTAGGATAAAACCACAATGTATATTTAAAGTCACTGGTTAGGATAAAACCACAATGTATATTGAAAGTCACTGGTTAGGATAAAACCACAATGTATATTTAAAGTCACTGGTTAGGATAAAACCACAATGTATATTGAAAGTCACTGGTTAGGATAAAACCACAATGTATATTTAAAGTCACTGGTTAGGATAAAACCACAATATATATTGAAAGTCACTGGTTAGGATAAAACCACTATGTATATTTAAAGTCACTGGTTAGGATAAAACCACAATGTATATTGAAAGTCACTGGTTAGGATAAAACCACAATATATATTTAAAGTCACTGGTTAGGATAAAACCACAATGTATATTTAAAGTCACTGGTTAGGATAAAACCACAATGTATATTGAAAGTCACTGGTTAGGATAAAACCACTATGTATATTTAAAGTCACTGGTTAGGATAAAACCACAATGTATATTGAAAGTCACTGGTTAGGATAAAACCACTATGTATATTTAAAGTCACTGGTTAGGATAAAACCACTATGTATATTGAAAGTCACTGGTTAGGATAAAACCACAATGTATATTTAAAGTCACTGGTTAGGATAAAACCACAATGTATATTTAAAGTCACTGGTTAGGATAAAACCACAATGTATATTGAAAGTCACTGGTTAGGATAAAACCACAATGTATATTGAAAGTCACTGGTTAGGATAAAACCACAATGTATATTTAAAGTCACTGGTTAGGATAAAACCACAATGTATATTGAAAGTCACTGGTTAGGATAAAACCACTATGTATATTTAAAGTCACATACATAATGTTATATTGAAAGTCACTGGTTAGGATAAAACCACAATGTATATTGAAAGTCACTGGTTAGGATAAAACCACAATATATATTTAAAGTCACTGGTTAGGATAAAACCACAATGTATATTTAAAGTCACTGGTTAGGATAAAACCACAATGTATATTGAAAGTCACTGGTTAGGATAAAACCACTATGTATATTTAAAGTCACTGGTTAGGATAAAACCACAATGTATATTGAAAGTCACTGGTTCGGATAAAACCACAATATATATTGAAAGTCACTGGTTAGGATAAAACCACTATGTATATTGAAAGTCACTGGTTAGGATAAAACCACTATGTATATTTAAAGTCACTGGTTAGGATAAAACCACAATGTATATTTAAAGTCACTGGTTAGGATAAAACCAACATACTTACCGATTTCTATTAAATTAGTCGTGTTTAAGACATCCAGCGTCCATTTTAATTACCACCTTGAGAGTCAAACAATGTTTGATCGATAAAATAACTTTACCTATAGAATGTAGTGGATTTACTGGACTAAATTTCTTTTTCTACATTACTGGAGCGTATGTAAAATATGTAATATAATGATGATGTGTCTTACCTAGCTTGAAGAGCATCTTCCACTCGCCCTCAATTGTGTGCTTCGCGCACGCCACGCACGCACATTCACAGGCGCTCGCGTCCACACATACACACACACACACACACACATATATATATACACACACACACACACATACACACCACACCATTATACAACACATTAAACATTAACCAAATAGTTACCGCCATAAACTACTACTAATTAAGAAATAATAAATCATGTTTTGCACTTACTGAATATAGATTTAAAACTAAGAAATTTGAAAAGGCCCTGTATTCTGAGATACAAGTGACAACCTATTTCAACCCATAAACGTTTTTATTATTGCAAACTAATTAGCGTCAAATTATCATCAAATTCCAGGTCCTGATACAAATATAAGCCATAGCCATCAAATATTGTGTAATTATCAGATTATCTGACAATATTTGGTAGCTATTGGATTGAACATCACTACAATTGACTCAATATATGACATTGTTCTATTTTCAGTTGCGTTATTACTCCAACTGCAAAAAGTTTAAACAGTTAATGGAGAAAGCTAAAAAAGAATCGATTCATAACGAGTTTGCTGAGTTCAGCGACCTGATCCCTACGCTGAAAACCGAAACAGGACGGAACTTCACTGAAAACCCACTACTGTTCCAGACAATCAACGATTTGTTTAGAAGTCAGGTATGTAGTACACACTCGTTTGAAAAGAAGAAAGAAAGAAAGAGACACGTTAATCTGAACCATTTAAAGACATAAAACAGACGGACATAACTGCATCACGTGTATATTTTTATTGTTGTGATGGGATATCCATAGCACACAGACGTAATGTTACACAGAAAATATTAAATATCGCAAAGACTACGTACGAAATACCTCATGGCTGATGCACTTCTCTCAAACCATAGATCAAACCACTTTTTCTAATAAAACATATAATATTTATTATTGAACCGTTGAACTTAGGAGTAGGTAACTATATAATTGATTTACAATGTGGCGTAGTAGTTCGTATGCGAGTATCATAAAATTATACAGTACACTAGCTGTCCTCCACGATTTCACCCCCGTGGAATTTATTACAATTGGATTTCATGGGTTCTAGGTTTTTTTGCGCGGAACCCTAATTTTTTTTTTCTAAAATAAAACTAGCCTAAGTTAGTCCTTATAACATCAGCTATCTGTCAGTGAAAGGCCCATCCAAATCGGTTCATAGATTTTTGAGTGATGCGTGTTAGTTAGTGTTTTATTATAGTAATAGTATAGAATATGAACAACCTTAGATTCGCCAACACCACTAAAGTTACTTGCAGTTTCAAGGGTCCATTTACTACGAGTGCGGCAAAAAGATAAATTAAGGAATACTGCCAGACCACATAAGGCTAGACCATATAAGGAGATAGGGAGTATTTAACTTAACCGTCCCGCTTGGCTGGCTGATTGACAATAGCAGTACCAGACGTGAGCACCTTTGATGCTTAGAAAGAGATCTTAGAAGCTATAAGATTTTTCTGATTTTCCCACAGTTGCCTCTTACGATAGCCAAGGCACAAATGGGGACAAAAGGGGGAAATGGAGTGATAGATACTTACGCTGCCTTCGCATGACCAATGGATTCTTTTATTTATTTAAAAAAAGATTGAAGAAAATTTGTACTATATATTTCTAGAAACATATATATATATATATATATATATATATATATATATATATATATGTGTGTGTGTGTGTTATAAAATGAATTTATAACAATAGTAACAAGGACAAATGATTTGCTAACTAAAGTACTAGCTAACTACTATTATTCATTTGTATTTTTCCCTACAATGTTATTAAAATTAAATTATATTAATATTAATTTATATTATTAAATTATATTATTATATTAATATAAAGCCAGTTATTTCCTTAGCAATATTAAAATACATTTCATTAATTATTAATTTCATTAAATAATTTAAAATCAGTAACAAAATTATATAACATAGTAAGATCATGAAGGCAATACATTTAAATAAAGTATAATTATTGTTACAATCAATAATGACTATCTACTTTTTCACACATAATTTTAATGAGTTGTTATTTAATTACTTGTTGTTAAGGTGCTGTTGATTTTTGAACATTGTAATTGATATTTTCAGGTCGCCCTCGGCTTGGGTGTGCCGCAATGGGCTAAGCCTCTTCTAACACGACTTAGCGAAGCATCGAGATTAGCGTATAGGTTGTATTATAAGACGGATGAAATGAAAAAGATTGGTGGAGGTAATTATTTTATATCATCATAATTATAAAACACATGTTTATAAAGAGTTATTATATTACTAAGGAGTATATGATTGATAAATAACCCAAAAAAAATCTTTTTACAAAATTTTCATAATTTATTGTATAAAATGTTGAGTAACCCACCTCAGCTTCATTTGGATAGGATCTATTAATGTAGCATTATTAAGATTTGATCAGTGAAGACCTTAAAATTTAAAAAAAATATATATGCTAGATCACTCCTGGCATTTCTCTCTATATGTTCGTAAAGTTTCATTACAATCGCTTCATCTATTCTGAAGATTATCCCGGACAGACTGACAGACTCCCACAAAGATGGCATCATACGCACTTCGCAGGCAGTTTGGCAACAGTAGTTTTCTTTAATTCTTTTGATTTTTTTGTCAGCAAGATGCTACAGCTCATCTTCTTTTACATATCCCTTTATTGCCTCTTACAATGTCTACGGAATGATGTAAAATGGATTCTCCTACACCGTTACTACACGAGAATTTATAACTAAAAAAAATTGTAATGAAAATTATTTTAGTGTGGTTTTCATTTATTAAGAGAATTTAAACTTATGCCAAAACACCCTGTTGTTCCATCATTCCATTAGATAAGGACAAGTATTCTAAATCACCCACATTTTGTAAGGTGATCAAAAATCCAGCACACGGGCACTTCTTCAAAATAGCCTCGTCTAAGTCTAAGTCACGCCTTGTTTTGTACGTTGGCTAAATATAAAATTGAAATTTACTTTTCACAGGTGTTTTGTTAAATGATTTCATCTCAGCTGCAAATGAGATCATAGCGGGCAAAACCGTCACGAAGAGGTTCCGATTATATTCGGCTCACGACTTCAACATCGGTGCACTGATGGACGTTACAAAGGTCGTGAATAGTGAGCAAATCCTGCCCGAGTACGGATCTCTGTTTGCCATCGAGCTGTACAAATCCAAGAGCAATGGAGAATTTACTGTTATGGTAAGTAAACGTTGTATTTAACATTAAATGTACTAGGTATTAGAACTCACACTCTTACTTATTTCTGCCGACAAACAGCGGCACTTGCACTGCTGTGTTCCGATCTGCAGGGTATAGAGAGCCAAAATAATGACAGGTCATTAGGCATTGCATCTAAGTCCTCAGAGGTGACAATGCTTCTGTGCTCTTCTTTTTTGAAGTTGCCTGCAAGTGTACATGTACTAAAGTTTTGTATAAAAAACTTTCACGGCAGTCACCTAAAGGCTAGACAGAAACTACGAAATTTGTTTTGGTACGATACTGACACACTTTTTTCGCTTCTTTCACATATATCTAAGTATATACATAATAAATGAAATTCAGTAATAAAGTAAATTTGGTCCGAAAACATCCGTCTAGGAAGTTCCTTGGCAACTCTGCCAGACACGTTGTATTTGAATTGTTGTAATTGTACGGTGATAGTTATAGTCCTCTTTTCTACCTTCCAAATTCACTATTGGCATTTTTCCTGCAAAAATATACCAAATTCTTGAGCTTTTCCTAAAAGATTATTATTACACACAATATTATCTTGCTATCAATGTACTGTCACAGTTCTGTAGAATTTAGAATTGGCATATTTAAATTAGTAAATAATGACAAAATATTCTTTCAAAACGTATGAAGTCCGTCTTCACGCACTGATGTGGGATAATTATGTAGGTATGATATAACAGGTATATAGTGGCTTGGTATATTGGATCTTTCTTCGCAAACTTTGGCAAATTCACCTATTAGGCAATATGGATGGGTGAATACATATTTATATTGTTGAAATAACACCAATATAAATTTGACACGTGACATTTTACATAATGTTATGATTTACAAAAATAAATTATACGTAACATATGGTAGACAAGGATTTAGTCTCCCCAATATTACTTTTATATGCGTCAATTATTCAAATTTAGTTTTTGGTTACTCGCCAGAACGCACAGAGAAAAAAAAACGATAAACGAAAGACAAGAAAAATATTTGAACTTAAGTTAAATAAAATGGAATGCAAACACTTAATTTGTCGTATTGATCTACATCATTTCGTTCCTCTATAAACCTTAACAAGTCTACTGCCGAACCTGACCTGCATCCATAGACTTCCTACATGTCTTACCAAGTCGTCGCTACACCTCGAGTGGGTCACCTTACATTTCACTTACCAGTACGAGGCTGCCACTCCAGAAGATTTCTTTCCCAACGGCTTTCAGTTGACCTGAACAGCGATAATGTCAATAAACCGCTAAAACAATAGTTGACAATTTTTTTCTTTCTTTCTTTCAAAATTATTTTTGTTCCAGCCGGTGTATCTTCCAAAGGCTGGTGAGTCGGAAGCCCAGTATCTGCACTTCACAGGCTGCGAAAACAATAATTACTGCAATTACAAGCATTTCGCCGATATCTCCAAGAAGTATCTTCTACCAGAGAAAGAGTTTTACAGAATCTGCAACATCAAGACAGAACTGTAGAAGCCCGAGTTGGGGCTGTCGATAATTGTTCTATATACAATATGTAAAAAATACCTTGGCGATCCGTGAATGACGTGTGGTATGGTATTGCCATACCATACCACACGTTCAACAGTGTTGGCAGATTTTAATATTTTGGTGAATTTTAAGCGAATGATACTAAAAGGATGTATAATTTTTTTGGTAATATTAGCGGTGTTTATTCACTATTTCTTTCGAATGGGACAGGGTGTTTTTATATATTGTGTTATTACGAGCATATATTTTAAATTAGAAACATTTTGAAATGGCGCATACTTTAAAACAAAAGGCAATCAAGAATGTTATATTAACTGAGACAATTCTACAAGAATCATTTTTTTATATTCCCATTAAAAATTATTGTAAGAAGTTTTGTTTTTGGAAGTCCAAATTTAAAAATCAAAAAATGTTGCAAAAAATAATTAGCAATCCTAGTGTGAGGGAAAATAAGTATTTTCTTTTACAAATATTGTTTATAACCTTTTATAAAATATATACGTAATGTTATTATTTCTGCAAGAACGCGAAGTCTGTGATATTTACATTTAACGTTATATTACAAAAAATATTGTTAAAATCTAAAACCTATCAGTGTGTGTTTTTAAGTTATCCTCGATATTTAAATTAGGTCTTTCGAAAACAAATTCGCCAGCTTATTCAATCATCAATTTTAATGAAAAAATATACTTGTTGTTTTTTATATATATAAAAATGTTTTGAAACTTTGTAAATGGCGAAAAATAAATGAGAACAATTTTTACATTGGAAGTGTATATTTATTGCTTGTCCCCCCACCATGTCAGCTGAATTGATTTTTCATTTTTTTGTAGACTGATTGAGCATTGTCTTTAAACGATAGATCCCAAATACCTTTTACTATAAACGAAGCATTCCATTTTAGTCCTCGGAAATGACATCACAATCAAAATGTAAATGCATTTTGATTCCCAATCGAGGATAGGTGTCTACTGCATCCACTTAATACCAGGTGGACTGAGCACTCGATTGTTATATATTATCTAAGATTTTATATCTTATTATATAAAAATGGTTATATATTTTTTTCTAAAATTATTTTGTAATAAAACGGAAAATTTACCAAATAAAATAAAGAAAGGTGCTGACTTCTACTGTTTCGCTCATTTTCAGAAATTAAAATCAGTACGCAAATCTGTAAAAGTTTTTCGCCTTTAATAGATAAAAAATGATTAATTCCAGTCTGAAACTTTATATTTATACCCAACAGAAATGGACTGACTGCAATTCGGTTGGGTACATTATTGCCATTTATTAATCAATAAATTATATTTTATAATAGTTGTGTCTGCGACTTCATTCACAAAGAATCTTTGTTTGTGACTTATTTGTTTTGAAATTTTATTACTTAGGGTTTATTTGATAATATTCTGAAAACTACAATACATTGTAAAAATTAAACAATAATAGTATAGATATTCCTATAATTATAAAGAGTAATTTCGTCATGAAACCGATCAAGTGGATCGATGACTTAAACACCGAGAGTGGCGTTACGTTCAATATTATATAAAAAATAAATTTGATTAAAATGCATCGGCATATCGATGTAAGAAAAAAATATGAAGACTAAGGAATAGCAAACTAACAAAATATAAGGTTCCTTACATTGCAAACTTCAATAATACGACGAGAACGATAACTTGTTTGCCGTGTAAATAGATCTATCGTCATTTTACGTCCTGGGGCTGTAGTAACGCCAGAAAAATCTTATGGTGCTCGATATTTTACGTCAGAGCCAGACATAAAACACTGAGACCAACTACGGGCAGCATCAATAGTGCGAGACGTTTTGTATTGCAATAGACTACCAGCCGTAACAATTATGGCTACAGTAGGAGAGTGAATTTCGTGCAGTAGACTTTTACTGACTGGTGATGAAGAAAATGAAGAATAGATAATGCCTTTGACATTCTTGGGTCACTAATTATTCAATCTTTCCCTGTCTAAACTTTGGATGCGCTCTTGCAATGTTGCATGATTTATAGTCACTGCAATGTTTCTAGTTTGGTACAGGCATTAAGGTATCTTTATAGGTAGTGCTTGTGTCGGGATCAAGGGGGTCTACTTTGACTGGTTTAGCATCCAGGAAGGTAACCTATTTATGAACAGTTGTTTGGAAACTTTGAAAGTTGAAGAATGTGGGTTATGAATGGATGAGTCAAACGTCAAATGCCTTCCGTATGCCAACGGCGTTTAGCGTTAACTTATTCATCAAGCTCATATTTGCGTCGTCGGTGGCGGAGTTGCAAAGATTGTTACATTAATGAACTGGTCATTATAAGAAAGGGGAATGAAAGTGAACGCAAGTAAGACGAAAGTTATGGTTTTTGAAAGAGAAAAAAGTATAAACGGTATGTGGAATGGTTGGAAGAATAGAAGGAGAGTTGGTTGTGGGATTGAATGAAGTGGGGAATTGAATTGAAATGAATAATTTATTGGCTGGATATTTGGTAATTAGACCTCTTCTGTCAGCCAGTCCATAGAGTAACCGCATGCAGATAAGGTTGACTGTTTGAATATAGCTATTGTATTTCGTATTGTAAGTGACGAGAGCTGGAGGCTTTTTTTACAACCAGTTTTCTCAATACTACAGACAGAAACTTTAATTTTATTTATATGTGTATGTATAGATGTATATAGGTTTGTTCAAATATTCATGTAGTAACTGAAAGATATTTGTATGGAATTGTAAATGATCGTTTATATAGTTTGATGCACCGGTACAGTGTTTTTCTTCAACTAAAATTATCAAATGAGTACTCAGTCACCTTATTGTAAGTGGATGATATGTCACACAGACTACATCTATCCTAGATTCAGAATCAAAATGCCGAATGCGATGTCAATCCTGACGACTAAGATAGAATGCTTCGTTTCATGTAATAATTTAAATCGACGTCAAAATAAATGTATAATAATAAATTAAAAACTATTGGTTAGACCTTAAACAAATTTATATGAGAACCGACGAATGTACCAGCTTTCAAATAAAAAAGGAATCTCCGAAATTTGTTCACCCAGAAAAAATTCTGAGGTAACACACATAAAAAAAGAAAACAGTCGAATTGAGTACCTCCTACTTTTTGAAGTCGGTAGAAACAGTGTATCCGGTTCTCAACACTCATCATATAACACACAGCATTAAGCTGCTATTTCACGCTAGTATTCTGTGAGAGTGTGGTTCTTCCCAGGTCGAGCCAACGCTTTTATACAACAAACATAATATAGCTGGCTCTACCACGTGTAAAATCTTCTAAATCCTAAATCTTATATCTGAATATTATTTTTATAGCTCTACGATGACATAGTCAGAAAAACCTGGCCTTGATAATATAATATTGATTTGATGTACACGTCTAAAATTTTTACTCAAATGTCAAAACGTAATACATAATATTTTTTTTATATAGGATAAGGGTGACAAACGAGCACACAGTCCACCTGATGGCAAGTGGTTGCTGCGGCCCATAGACGTCTATCCTCCATTACAAATCAAAATGTAGATGCGTTGTCACCCGTGAGGACCAAGATTGTATTCCTCATTTCCAGTAAAAAGGGCCTCTGGCTACCTGCACTCACCAAGCGAAACGCAGAGGTATACCTCTACTTCACGCTGGTTTTCTGTGAGGTCGTGGTACCACCCCGGTTCGAGTCGGCCCATCCGTGTGACAGCAAAAGCTGCCGCGTGGCTCTACCACTGTGAAAAATTAATATGTCAAGTACAATTCGCATTGAATATCCATTTCTGCGCTTGATCATTGCAGACTAAGGATGTGTTTTGGATGGATTGGACTGAGGATGGTGGATTGGCCATTGTATTTAACTTCAAGGCACTTACCCCAGAATACATAAAGCGATAGGCTTGTAGGGTTAGTTTTATCGGATGTTGAGTCGGGATCCGATATGGAAACCGATATGGAAACCCCTGATAAACGTAGAAAAAGACCCCGCTACCAATTATTGTCCAAGACAAATCCAGATGGAACAACATATACAAGTGGACTCGAAGAAAATTTTGTGCCAAATGCCTCCCAGGACATCCGTATCTTCCTGTCGTCTACGGAGGATTTCCGCATTGTGATAAACTACCTACACGTCCATAACATAGAGTTCCACACTCCTACGATCTCACGGAGGTAACCTTTGCGTTGTTATTCACGGACTCCCTAAAGAGCTCAAGACCGTACCAATATTAAGCAACCTAATAGTTCAGAATCTTCTAGTCTGGGGGGTGCACATGTTGCAGCACCCAACCAGGAAGAAGAGGTACTCGAAATACCTCTGTGCCTGGTTAGTTTTGACCTGTCTCCATAAGGCAAGTAGATATTCAACATCCGGCTGCAATGTGACAGGGATTGCAGTTGAATCCCACCGCAACAGGGGCATCATCATTAGCGCTAATATAATGTATTGTGGTGAAACAGTCCAAAGTCTAAAATGAATTGTAACATGCACAGAGAATATTTTTCGTCAGCTCAACATTGGTATCAGTTATTGAGAGACCCCTTGTAAACTGGTTTTTGTGGAGCAGCTTATTAACATTAAAAAAACTTAACATTTGATCTAAAATCATTTTTTTAATTTTACTGAGTGTTGGCAGTACAATAATTTTCACTATACTATTTCTAAATGTCTTTAAGCGATATTCATTTATCGGAACAAGCACAACTGTTTAACTTTATGTTTTTTGTGTATGTAAGGTAATGAGACCAACTCTTCAACTCTCCTAATTTTGAATAATTAATTTATGTAAGGACTCAAATCTGTAAAAAATTTGCTATACATGTAGCACCTCCTAGTAGGGCCTCCTACTATACGAGTAGACTCTAAGAACAAAATGATTTAAATTTAATACTGATGGAAGAAGTTTCAAGGAGATTGATATTAAAGTCTCTACTAGTACATATGACAACAGATTTATTATGTTTAATAAGCTTAATCAAAACTTCTTGTTACGGCCTACGGCTGCTCCCTTAAAGGGTCAAATCATCAGGGGCCCATGAGCTGAAGACTTCCCGAGCAGACGTAGGTCGGGCCTCAATGTGGCCACGTGGAATCTTTCTAATTACACTAAAATATATGGGGGAGCGTTCTATAATACGGCCAGTCGTATACCTATATCCAAGGCGACTGGTCCCTCCGGAGTTGGTCAGGTCGCATGTGGTTGTGTAGTGCAAGGAAAATAAAGTGATGTGATGTGTATCTGGGTGTGACTGATGGTGATTGAACCTAGACCTTGGCCGTCGGCAGCAGCCCGAGCGTCGACACCACTCCAACTTGAGAGGGCCTTCCGAGGTTGTCCACAGTCACTTTCCTCTTTCGTCACGATGACAGTCAATTAACTCTATCGTACGATTAACTAAATTACAGAAGCCACTAACTATCGCTGGGTATAAGGTTAACGCACAAAACGCACACGCCCACATTCTATGTATAATTTTTTCAATAAATTACTTTATTGAAAAAATTATACATAGAATGTGGGCGTCTGTAAACACCAACAACAACTACTTTGTAGTAATTCCAAATTCAATGTTAAAGCATTACAATGCTCAATAGAAGATCTCCTTGGTTTAATTAAGATATAAATAATAAGATAGCTCATTAGCTATCAGTTTTATACAAAACTTTACTATATACGGTCATAAATACTTCTAGATACTATATCTTCTGAAGTTATAACGTGAAAATTATTTTATTATATTCAGTTCTTTGAATTCGGCTTTTACTATTTATTCTATTTTTTATAAATATATAAACTTAAAACTCAATGTGACATCATACCTGTATAGATTAGGGCAAGTGACGCAATCTTTCAAATTCGAAATCAGCATTCGATTTAGATTCATAGCAGGTACCGCAGTGCTATTATATTGAATCAGTTGTTAAGTACGAAACGCAAGTTTTTAACTTCATAAAATAATGATTGAAATGTCATTTTAATCGCCGTGTTAGCTTAAGGGCTAAGCGCTCGCCGCAAATTTCACAGTTAGCAAGCAACCCAGGGTTCAGTCTTCAACAGCCCCATTGAAATTGGAAATTGCAATTTTAAGTGCTAGTTTATACAGTGTTTGACTGCTTCGTTGGTCTAGTGCAGGCTTTCTCAAACTTACAGCCCAACGTACCCCTATTAAATTTCCCCGACAATGGTGAATCCCTATAAAATCTGCCTTAAGACAAAAATAAGGCTCATTATTTTAAAAAAATATACCAGTCACACAGAGCAATATGTTTTATTAGTGTGAGATAAAAAATTAGCAAATTACTTTTTTAC